CCTGGTCCCTTCGATCTCTTACAAGCAGGGTTTCTAGGGCTCACACAGAACAGACATATAGAAGGAGGAACTACATACAGAGCATGTGCTGAAAACTCCATGAGCAACTACGGTATGCTGAGTGTTATTCTAGGTTCTTCTGTGCCATGGGATGGGAACAGAACTCTGCGATATCTGGCTAGAGAGGCTGTCCCCCTGGATACATTAATCAGGAGATTATCCCACCCTTGGTCCCTGAGGGCCAATCATGCTAGTGGTTTATTTATAATTTATCTGGGAGGGTAGCTTGGAGCCAGGATAGGGAGGTGGAGCATAGATGCATAAAGACCACAAGAAGCAACACACACACACACACCCTAGCCCTCTGGACCTCCAGAGAAGAGGAAGGGTCTTTAATCTTTTCCTTGTGGTATGAGGGAGAGGTGGAGAGTAAGAGGAGCAAGAGGGTAAGTTGGTAGAACCCATAGGGATGGGGCAGAGGGCTGTGGTGCACAAAGAGTACCCCAGCACCTGTCATCACAGGCTGTGACTTCCATTATAAAACTCTCTTCCTGGTTTATGAGGAATCACTATAGCAATGTGGTAAACATATAAGAAGAAAAGGGCAGATGCAGATTTACAGAAGGGGATTTGAGGCCCAGAGGCAGGCTAGATCTCCTGGAGAAATGGGGAGAGGGAAGGGCATAATAGGTGTCTGGCAGCACTATATATGAAGGAGAAACTTCGTGAGAGGAGGTATGCCCACATCACGGTATCTTAAAAGAGCTTCCTCCTTCCCCCCAGATGAGGAGCACAAGGTTCCTTCTCAGTACTCAGAATACGCATGGGGGGGGGGGGGAGGGGAGGGGTTTGCACAAATGAATGGGGCCTGATCTTGAAGTTAAAGAGAATGTAATGAGGAAGACTATGGTAGCCTTGTGGAAAGGGGGGGGGGGAGGGGGAGGAATGGCCTGCATGTCACAATGGACAATGGATGTAGCAAAAGGGTGGACCAGGGAATTAAGTCAGGCAGGAACTGGTGGGAAGACTTATCAGGGTCTCTGGTACTCTGCTTAGAAGCAAAGGGATAGTGATTTCCAGAAGCAAGCTTTGCCTCTCTGGGCTCTTTTCTCCTTGCCAGTTCTCCAGGCCCGCGGCTCCCAGAGCAGAGTGCTGTCCTCTGGCCAGGCTCTTTCTCTGGGGAAGTGAGATCAGAAGGGCAATGTAGAGATGTATGAAGCTCTTCCCACTCATTTCTGGTCAGGAAGGGCTCCTCCTAGGAGGAAGTTCCGGTTTCTCTTCAACCTGTCCCACCACCGTAGGCCTTGGTCTTGTGTGAAAAAGGCACAAGAGAGCAGAGAGGAAGACATTACCTTTGGCTTGGGGTCTGGGGCAGCAAGGCAGTGGTGCTGGGACATTGGTTTTCACTCAAGTCCTCGTTCTCTGGGGGCCAAGAAAGAGCAAAGAGACAGGTTTATGGGCTCAGGTTCTCTGAGGGCCAAAGGGTTTTAAGATCGGGCTCTCCGGCACAGTTAGGGAAAGGGGTGACTACCTTGTGGCATAATTGAATGAAGAAGGCATCCCGGAATGTTGACGTGTACACGTGGAGGGGAAGATGGGGAATATTACACAACAAAGTGTTTTTTGGGGGGTGGAAAATGGGGCCTCAATGAAGTGAGGATGGGGGACAGTTGAAAGTAATATGAGACTTTAGGATACAAAATGAGAAAGTGGCTGAAAAACCATGAGACGTTGAGGATAAGCAGAATTTGGTATTTAGGAATGAAGATAAAAGTTCTGGCATGTTGACGAGTCACTCAGGAAGAAAGCACATGATGATATTATAGAATTTTAGTATTAGAAATGATGGCTGGATGAACATCACTTTCCAATCAAAATCCCTTAGTATATAGGGAACAGATAGATTACCTTGACCATCCACCCATTTTAGAATACCTTCTAGCCTCTAGAAGGACCACCAAGAACCTCTATTGGGATGTGACTTCCCCTGAGACTAGTCGGGATTTGTTTTATTCTCTGTAACAAGATACTGGGAACTAGCACTCAATTGTTCTCCTTTGACAACAGTTATTCTATCTGGTCTCAGAGTTTATTTGCTTGTTTATGCTTCTTGGAAGGAGGAACCTATGGTCCTTGCATTTCCCAGCTCTGTGCCTTGCTAGGTATTCTGTCAAGCCCTAGTGTTAGTTAGGTGCTAGTTAGTTAGTTAGTTAGTTCTATCTGGTCTCAGAGTTTATTTGCTTGTTTATGCTTCTTGGAAGGAGGAACCTATGGTCCTTGCATTTCCCAGCTCTGTGCCTTGCTAGGTATTCTGTCAAGCCCTAGTGTTAGTTAGGTGCTAGTTAGTTAGTTAGTTAGTTCTATCTGGTCTCAGAGTTTATTTGCTTGTTTATGCTTCTTGGAAGGAGGAACCTATGGTCCTTGCATTTCCCAGCTCTGTGCCTTGCTAGGTATTCTGTCAAGCCCTAGTGTTAGTTAGTTAGGGAGGTAGTTAGGTGGGTAGAGCACTGCTGGAATGTTGAGAAATAGTCTTGAGATGGGAGTTTGGGCTTATTTGGGGATGCTTTGGGATGAATGAAACTTTATGTAAATAGCTCATCTGGCCAGTATGGTATTTGGTTGGTCTTACCCAAAACTTAAATCTTGTACGTAAGTGTCTGGAGATACCTGCATTTTGGTGGACTTGAGGTGGAGTTGATTCTCAGTTCCTGAGTGTTTGGAAATGATGGGATAAGGGAAGATAGAGTCTGTCCTAGACATCAAGAAGCTTTATTTATGCCAGGATACTGCTCTGGGCCAGTAAGGTGTGTACAAGCTGGGGCAGGGACAAGGCAATGTGAGCAGCCTACTTCACCCTGGCTGCTCTAAGTGTTAGAAGACACTTCCAGCATCTGCAGATGGGGGAGGTATGAATATGAATATTATGGGTTGCATGGCTGGAAAGGTATAGGGGAGGTGGAGTGGAGATCAGGGATTATGGGATGTGATACATTATGGCTGGTGCTGGGAGTTCTATGTATATTTGGTTGATCCGGCTCCCTGTAGTTATTATGGGATGTCAGGGTATGGGTGGGGCAGTAAAAATTCTGAGCTATCTTTCCAGTGTTAAAGGAGGTTAGATGTCATCTGTAGGGTGAACGTAGGACTAGTAATGATTATGGGATATCTCTTTGATAGGAGTGGTTATTATGGGCTGTGGAGCTGGAGTGAGTGTGTAAAGGTTGAGGTAGTGGTGAGAGGATCTAGACCCTAGCCTGCAGGGGTTGAAGGCAGCTCCAGGGGGTTGGTTATTATGGGATGTCTGCATAGAAAGTGGCAGACTGATCATTAAGGGATGAGTGTGGGAGGAGGCCGAAGTGTCCGTTGTAGTGTGTGTGTGTGTGGGGTGAGTTTCTGACTATTATGGGATATCAAATTGGGGTGGATGAAGAGTGGTTATTATGGGATGTCTGTGGGGGCTGGGGATGAATATTATGGGTTGCGAGGCTGAAGTGCTGGGCGGGTGCTTATTGCTTATTATGGGATGGCCCTGGGGAGGGAAAGGTGACGGACGAATTATTGCGGGATGCTAGCATCAGAGCCAACTGTGAAGAAGTTGGCAAAGAATGCCTATTATGGGATATCTGGGGGGTAAGGGTTAGTTGCAAAAGGTCTGTAATATTATAAGGTGTCAACAGCCTTGGTATAGATGTGTATGGAGCATATGTGTGTGCCGGGGGTGCTGGTGGCGGTGGTGTCCGAGTGTATTATGGGATGGCCAGGAGGTGGGTGGTTGCCCCGGTGACACGCGCGCGCGCTTGAAGGGGGCGTGGCCAATGGTTGCCTGAGCGACGAGGGGGCGGGGGTTGCCCGGGAGACCTAGGGAGGAGGGTGGCGGTAGTGGAGGGGGGGTTGGAGTTGGTTGAGGTTATTATGGGCTGTCCGTGGGGGGGCGGGGCCTGTGCGGTGGGATTTCCCGGCCGGTGTTTCGGGCCCTTTAAGAGGCGACGCCGGAGCCGGAGCCATTTTCCCCCCTTCGGCCGCGGTGAGGAGGAGCCGGAGCGGGAGTGACACCAGGCCGGACCCTGCGGGACCTGCGGCGGCTCCGGGGTGAGGAGAGCGCGAGGTTCCCCGAGGGATGCCCCCTTTCAGCCCGGCCAGCCCCGAGGGGCATCGCCGGTCCCTCAGACTCCCCCAGACCGGCGCGCCGCCCCCTGCCCGGAGGAGCCGACCCTTCCTCTCCCCACACCCGCTGCAGGGCGCCCGCCTCCCCACCCCCCGCCCCGACCCGGACCGGAGCCGGCTCCCCGCGACTCCCCCTCGGGCTCGGCCTCCCACAATGCCCGGCGTCCGGCCCCTGGCACTCCGCTCCCTGGCCCCCGGCACACGTGGCCCGACCCCCTGCCCGGTGGGAGCCCCGCGGCCCCCCGGTTCCTGCTCGCAGCCCCCGGGGCGCCCGAGCCTCCACGCCCCCTCGTCCCGCCGCTCCTCCTCGGGGGGGACGCGAGTTGTCCCGGAGGCTGGCCTGCGGAGAGCTGCCTGGCAGGGCACCGGCCCCTCCCCGGGCGCAGAGCGGTGCCCCCCACCCCCAAGTGACCTTGTGTCCCGGAGCGCCTCCCCGCCGGCCGCCTCCCCCGCGCCCGCCTGCGGCCGCTCGGACCCTCCTCCCCCTCCCCCGTCACCCCCGCTCGGCCCGCCCGGCTCCCCCCCCCCCAGCCTGCACCGCTCTGCCCTCGGGGGCGTCGCTGCCCTCCCGCGGGGGCTCCGGTGGGGGTGCCGGCTTCCGGGCTGCCTCGGAGGAGTGTGGAACTAAGTTCAGCCTGAGCGGCTCGGTGCCCCGCCGGGCTGGGTGGCTGGGGGGGCGGGGGCGGGGGGCGGAAAGGGCGGGCGGGTGGGGGAGGGGGCGGCGCGTCACTGACTGTTCTCCCCCCTCCCCCGCGCAGTGACTCGGGCCAGTGTCGAGGGCCCCAGGCCGCAGGCACGAGCAGCTGGGCCAGTTCCCTGGCCGGGAGCGGAAGGGGATGGCGTCGGGCCTGGGTTCCCCGTCCCCCTGCTCCGCGGGCAGCGAAGAGGAGGACATGGATGCACTTTTGAACAACAGCCTGCCCCCACCCCACCCAGGTAAGTCTTCTTCCCCAAGGGCCCCGGGGCAGGAAGGAGGCATTCGGGCCCTCCCTAGGGATTCTGGTGAGACCCGGCTTAGTTTCTCTCTCTCTCTCTCTCTCTCTCCGTGCAGCCTGAGGAGGTAAAGGGCACCCCGAAGGGAGTGGTTCCCTTCTGCGGAGCTCTTGGGGGTTGGAGGTGGGGGGAGAGCCATGTGCCTCCTGGGCTCCGAGGACAGAGATGCAAGCTTGCTGCACTGTCTGTCTTCAGGAATGCTCTGCAGTTCCCAGTTGAGGGAGCTCTCTGGGCCGGCAGGCGTTAGGTTGTGTGGGTTCTTGGAGGAATGCAGGTAGCGGGGGCCCCTGGAGGCTGGGTGGTGGTGGGGAGGGGGTTGAAGATTGCCCTTGGATGAGACCAGGTGGGCATCTGTGCTCGCTGGGATCCTGTGGCCGCTGCTGTGGAAAGGAAAGAGGGAGTCTCCGCTGGTTACTCTCTATCTGATTATTTTTAGCTTCCGATCAGTTACCAGTTTTCTGTGCTGTTTCAACTCTGCCGAAGTTTGAATTGCGCTCCTTAGCCGAGATGGAGAGCTCTTTCAGCCAGGCAGATTGCTGGAAGGTTTTGAGCTGGGGGAATGATGGGGATGAGGGGCAGCCTGACCCGTATACTAGGAAGTGTAAGAGAAGGGAGGTGATACTCTCACACTACTCTCTTCTTCAGGCAAATGGACACAATCCAGGCTTTTCCCCCCTAGAGATTTCTGCTGTGCAGGTAGCCTGGGATTTGGGCTGATGGTGTGAAGTGTTTGTGTAAGTGTGTTGGGGGTTGTGCCGTCTGTATTTTGGGGTGGCTCCTTGAACTGGCCAAACCTGTATGGTTATAACTACCTTGCCTGATTGGCGTAGCCCTTGTCTATCTCCAAACGATGATTGATGTCTTGCTTCTAATCGGATGAGGTCTCTTCTGTTTCTCCTTCAGAACCCCCAGCTAAGTCACCTGCTTATTTCCTTGATCTTTTTTTCTAGTTTCGTTTTTTTTTCCTACTTGCCATTTCTTCATGCTCTCCACTTTTTTTTTTTTTTCCTTTCCATCCTGGAGCCTGCTGGTCCTGTTTCTGTTTCCCAAGGACCATCTTTCACTTCTGCCTTCTCTCTCCTCAGCTCTGGTGGCAAGTTGAGGTGGTCTGGGAGAGAGTTGTTTCTACATTTGGTATTTTCTGAGTTGGAAGTCTTCACTTCCACCTGAGGCCACTTAGGAGAGCGGGCAGACTTGTTACTGAGCCGTCAGCTGTGGCGATAAAAACCTTAGGCCTGAGCCTCCTCACTGCAGGGCAGGGTGCTGTTGCCCAGGATGGTGGTGGAGTGGTAGTCACGATTCCACCTTTTCTGCGAGGGGCATGAGAAGTAGTGACATCCAGCCAGAGTTGGTTGCACTTCTTGGCTTCCCGCTGGCCCTTGGTCTGGAGATGCCCCCGTTTTATTGGGAGCCGTGCGGGCTGCCCAGGGGAGCTGTGCCCCACGCTGTAGCATGACCCAGTTTCCCACTTGCCACACCCATTCCTGCCCCTTTCCCAAATCCTCCTCTGTGTCTGACCGGTTTGCTGCTGGCCACGCCAGTGTCGGTATCTTAGCTGCCTGAGTAGTTTGGGGGGTCTTACGTGGATTGGAAGGTGTCTCCTCTGCCTGCATGGGTTTGTCCTTGTCTCCACTTCCAGCGTTTATGGAGGTAGTGAAGAGGAAAACCCCAGAGATGTAGCTGATTGAAATAGGGATTGCTGAGAAGAAGCCCTTAAAGAAAATGATTCTTTCTGGTGAGATCCTGACTGGTGTTCCGTTCCCCAGGGAATGGGAGGGGCTTTCTGGTGCCTGGCCTGATCCTGGGCTGAGTGGGGGGAGGCTGATGGTGCTTTGTCCAGCCTAATGTCTCATGTTCCCGAGTATCTGCCTGGCTCAGGAAGGGTGGAGCCAGAGGCGTTTTAGGGCTACTTCTGCGGGTCAGGAGCTGAGAGTGTGTGTAGGATTGAAGGAAGCATGTTGTCCACCACATCTAGGGACTGTTCTTTTTTCTTGGTGAGGACATGACTCCCAGATATTGGATAGGTGGCAAGAGGTGGTTTAGGATCTGGACCCCGGGTGGGGGTGATGAGGAAACTGAGTTTCAGAGACTTCTTGTGGGCTCCCCGGCCGCATGGTAAATCGCTTGGGTATCAGAAACTCGAGGAGAAGGTTGAATGCTCTGACCACAGCTCCACTGAGCCTTTATTAAATCTTTGCTCTGATGATTGAAAAAAAAAAAAAAAAAAAGATAGTTATGATAGAGGGAGTAGCCAGTCCCTCTCATAGTATTACCTTCGTGTTTGTCTTGGGTTTCCCTGACGTGGATGTTAGGGTAGCCGCTTGAGAACTGTGTCATCCCAGAGGAGGTGTGGGGAAAGGTGGCATTTTGACCAGGTAATGATTTGGGAAGTCTTCTGTCAGGGTAGTCTTTCCCCAGCTACCTCTCTTCAACCCATCCCCCTCCCCTGCCACTTCCTGTCTCCTATGTTGGCAGCTGGGTGCCCTGGCTGGCTTCTGCGGTCAGGAGCCATTTTCCCTCTCCTCAGTGGGTGAGGCACTCCCTCCTTCTCTCCACTCCCTTCGCCACTACCCCCCTCCTTGGGCGGGGGTGGCTTGGGAAGAAGGAGAAAGAGGAGGGAGGAGGGAAGAGGGAGCTGGTGTGCTGGTTTGAATGTCTGTTACAAAGGAAGCTGCCTCCTGGCCTTCTCCTCCCCCTCCGTGCCCCTTCCCACCTATCCCTGCCCAGGAGCTCTCTATTACCCCAGGCTTTGTGTGTGCGCCCAGCCAGGGGAGGAGGTGGAGCCAGATGGGAGGAGGATGGGGGTGGGGGGAGAAGGAGACGGTGACAGCTGGGCTGATTTGGGCCCCTGGGGAGAAGAGACTACTGACCCAGGAGAAGCTGGGAACAGTAGAGCTGGAGATGGGAAAAGGAAATTACATTTGGGATTGGGCTGGCAACAGAACCTGGGACTTGGAGATTCTGGTTGTTTTGAGCTGGGTCGACCCAAAAGGTGGTTGAAAGGTGTGGTTTCTGGGACCCGTGAAATGATATTGGGAATGTGGTGAGATATATACAGTAGTTTTTGCCATCTGGGTAAAATTCCTCATTCCCTGATTGATAGAGTACTTGGTAGCCAGGACCAGACCTATTTGTATTACTTGGTTAACTAAGCAGATTGATTAGCTGCATTAAAGATAAGCATGTAGAAGACCCCTGTTAGGAATAGGGAGAGGAGGCAGGGGTCTGGACAGCTGCCTGAGGTGGGTCTGGTCTGGCCTGGCAGGCCTATTTTGGGTCTATCCAGCTCTCTCTCTTTTTTTTTTTTTGTCCTGAGTCTCAGCTTCTTTCTGTGGGGTGTATAGCTGTCTCTTCAGTGGAATCTGGGATAAAAGGTGGGGGAATAATGTCTAAAGCCTCTGGATTAGGTGCTAACCTTTGCTATTGATCTTTTCCATAACTTCCTCTCTTTGCCAAATACATGTAGAAAACGAAGAGGACCCAGAAGAGGATTTGTCAGAAGCAGAGACTCCAAAACTCAAGAAGAAAAAGAAACCTAAGAAACCTCGGGACTCTAAAATCCCTAAGAGCAAGCGCCAAAAAAAGGAGGTGAGTGGGTGACTGGATGCTATGGGGGAATAAGAGGAAGAAGGGAGGAGCTCTGAAGAGGGTTGAAGGGCTGGGCTGTCTGTTACTTCCTCTGGAGTGCCACAGGTCCAGGGGACAAGCCTTAGGGCAATCCTGAGGTCAGCATGTGTGTAGCGTGTGTGTGTCTGTCTCCCTCTCCTCCCTTCCCTGCTCCAGCGTATGCTCTTATGCCGGCAGCTAGGGGACAGCTCTGGGGAGGGGCCAGAGTTTGTGGAGGAGGAAGAAGAGGTGGCTCTGCGTTCAGACAGTGAGGGCAGCGACTATACCCCTGGCAAGAAGAAGAAAAAGAAGCTTGGACCCAAGAAAGAAAAGAAAAGCAAATCCAAGCGGAAGGAGGAAGAAGAGGAGGATGAAGATGATGATGATTCGAAGGTACCTGGACCTCCATCCTCAGTACTGATTGTTTTTTTTTTTTTTTTTTTTTTTTTTTTTTTTTTTTTTTAAATATATTTTATTTGATTTTGTACAGAGAGGAAGGGAGAGAGATAGAGAGTTAGAAACATCGATGAGAGAGAGTCATCGACCAGCTGCCTCTTGCACACCCCCTACTGGGAATATGCCCGCAACCAAGGTACATGCCCTTGACCGGAATCGAACCCGGGTCCTCCAGTCCCCAAGCCGACGCTCTATCCATTGAGCCAAACCGGTTTCGGCATCAGTACTGATTGTTAACGTTTGTCCTTTGTATCCCAGACACACTTCTGCCCATTAGAACATTTTCTCCCCACCTATTTCTAATGATTTCCTTTTAGCTCTCTTCCTCTGCTCTTGCAAACCTTAGTTTTAATTCAATTCCCTTAGCAGGTGTAGGCATTAGAGGAGTCAGGTCTTTGACCTTGTTCTCTCTGCAGGAGCCTAAATCATCTGCTCAGCTTCTGGAAGACTGGGGCATGGAAGACATTGACCATGTGTTCTCAGAGGAGGATTATCGCACCCTCACCAACTATAAGGCCTTCAGCCAGTTTGTCCGGTAAACAGGAGGGTCTGGGGGGCAAGGGAAGGAGAGGTGGTCTATCATCTCTTCTCACTTCTCTTTCCCTCTCTTACTCATAAACTTTTTTCTTTTTCTTTTTTCTGTTCTCATTCATTTGTCCACCAGACCCCTCATTGCTGCCAAAAATCCCAAGATTGCTGTCTCCAAGATGATGATGGTTTTGGGCGCGAAGTGGCGGGAGTTTAGCACCAACAACCCCTTCAAAGGCAGTTCTGGGGCTTCGGTGGCAGCGGCAGCGGCAGCGGCAGTGGCTGTGGTGGAGAGCATGGTGACGGCTACTGAAGTGGTGCCGCCGCCTCCCCCGCCAGTGGAGGTGCCGATCCGCAAGGCCAAGACCAAGGAGGGCAAAGGTAAAGTGGGACTTGTGGGCCTAGGATGGCGAAGACAGAGTATGGAAATGCTATTCTGTCAGCCCAAAGACAGACGATAAGAGGGAGGGATTCATGTTGGATTTAGGAGGGAAATTTGGGAAGCTGAACGTGGGGCAGCCAGCTTAGATGGAGAAAATTTTATTATTTTCCTCATCTTCTGCCCTGTGATGTGTATTTGGATAGTATCATCTTACTTTGCTCTCTCCTGATTTTAGGTCCCAATGCTCGGAGGAAGCCCAAAGGCAGTCCTCGTATACCTGATGCCAAGAAGCCTAAACCCAAAAAAGTGGCTCCCCTGAAAATCAAGCTGGGAGGTTTTGGTTCTAAGCGTAAGAGATCCTCGGTGAGAGCCAAGTCCATCCTGTTGGCTGAGGATGCATATCTGATAGAGAGGATGCCGCCTTATGTCAGGATCTAGCCTATACAGTAGGCCCTTAGGATGTAGGGAGCTGGCCACAGAACAGGTGACTAGGTTCCAGGTACAACAATCCTTGCTGGGATTCTAGTGCCCCTAGTAAGAGAGGGAGGGATCCCTTTTCTACCTCTCCCCTTGGCTTGAACCTCTAACCTTTTATTCTTCCAGAGTGAGGATGACGACTTAGATGTGGAATCGGACTTCGATGATGCCAGCATCAACAGCTACTCTGTTTCCGATGGTTCCACCAGCCGTAGCAGCCGCAGCCGCAAGAAACTTCGAACTACTAAAAAGAAAAAGAAAGGTGAGTCTCTTTTCTGAATCCATATGTGATTTGATGGGGAGGGACTGACCGGGGAAGAATCTCCCTAAGGAGATAGGGGTGGGTTATTTTTAGGGTAGAGGATGGTGGGAGGGGGGAGGTAGTTTTTTTCTAATAATTGGGCTTTCCCTCTTCCTTGCCCAGGCGAGGAGGAGGTGACTGCTATGGATGGTTATGAGACAGACCACCAGGACTATTGCGAGGTGTGCCAGCAAGGCGGCGAGATCATCCTGTGTGATACCTGTCCCCGAGCCTACCACATGGTGTGCCTGGACCCGGATATGGAGAAGGCGCCGGAGGGCAAGTGGAGCTGCCCACACTGTGTGAGTACCTGGCCACCGTGGCCCTTTGGGACCCTCGGGGGAAAGGGTGGGATGGATAAAGCTTTTTTGGGCCTGGGGGGGCGGGGAGTAAGGTGGTGGTGTTGGTGTGGGCTTTGGGAAGCATTCGATGGAATGATGTGTGGTTCAGCCTTGGGTGGGGGGGTGGTAATAATCTGACTCTGCTTTTTCTTTACTGCAGGAGAAGGAAGGCATCCAGTGGGAGGCTAAAGATGATAATTCGGAGGGTGAGGAGATCCTGGAAGAAGTTGGGGGAGACCCTGAAGAGGAGGATGACCACCATATGGAATTCTGTCGGGTCTGCAAGGATGGCGGGGAACTGCTCTGCTGTGACACCTGTCCTTCTTCCTACCACATTCATTGCCTCAACCCCCCGCTTCCAGAGATCCCCAATGGCGAGTGGCTCTGTCCCCGTTGCACGGTGAGTGACTGACCCCAGCCAGGATGAGGGATGGGAGGGTTTACAAACCTTCTGTGTGTAGGCATTGTGAGGCTGAGGTGCAGTAGAGGTCGTTGGAGAACTGTAAGCCTTTTAGCCCTGAGGCAGGCGTTTTCCTTCCTCAGGTAGACTTGGGAAAGGTATGACTGACTGACTTTGAACGGAGAAATTATTTGCCAGCTGTCTTGAGGGGGATGGTGACTGTTCTTCTAGTCTAGTCTGTCCCAGTTTTGCCACTCAGCCTTGGGGTCATGGTGATTTAGAATGGTTAAAAGGGTCATTTACTGCTTTGGGTTGCTTAAGAGGAATTCTGGGCTATAGGTTTTGTGGGTTTTCTGTTTTCTTTTTTTTTTTTTTCTTTCTGTTTTCTTGTTCTGGGTTATTGCCTTTTTTTTATTTTTATTTTTTTATTTTAGAGAGAGAGAGAGAGGAAAAAAAAAACAACCCACATATTGATTTGTTGTTTCACTTATTTATGCATTCATTTGGTTGATTCCTATATGTGCCTGGCTGGGGATCAAACCTACAACCTTAGCAAATTGGGACGATGCTCTAGCCAACTAAACTACTTAGCCAGGTTATTGTTGAAGTCTAGCTAGCTTTGTTAAGCAGATAGTAGTGATTATGTCACACAAGTCCTGGGAAAAGTCCAGAAATGGAGAGGGAATTCTATTTTCTCCCTAGAAGGGTCCTTGGATTATATCTTACTTGCAATGAGATTTTACTAATTCTTGGATAAGGTTGAGGCTGTGGGCTATACTATCTCCTCCCCATGGTAATGATTTGGTGTTTTTCTCTCAGTGTCCAGCTCTTAAGGGCAAAGTCCAGAAGATCCTAATCTGGAAGTGGGGTCAGCCACCATCTCCCACACCAGTGCCTCGCCCTCCAGATGCTGATCCCAATACTCCCTCCCCTAAGCCCTTGGAGGGGCGCCCAGAGCGACAGTTCTTTGTGAAATGGCAAGGCATGTCTTACTGGCACTGCTCCTGGGTGTCTGAACTGCAGGTAAACCTGGATAGGCCAGAGATGTGGGGGTTGCAATAAAAAGGGTGGAGTGAGTAAGAGTGACTGCAGCTCCTTGGTGACCTCTTTCTTTCTGCTTGCAGTTGGAGCTGCACTGTCAAGTGATGTTCCGAAACTATCAGCGGAAGAATGATATGGATGAGCCACCTTCTGGGGATTTTGGTGGTGACGAAGAGAAGAGCCGAAAGCGAAAGAACAAGGACCCTAAATTTGCAGAGATGGAGGAACGCTTCTATCGCTATGGGATAAAGCCTGAGTGGATGATGATCCACCGAATTCTCAACCATAGGTACCAGTGGAGCTGGGCCAGACTGTGGTTGTCTTGGGCATATGGGAGGGTAGGCAGCATATCTACTGGAAGATTGCTGCCAAAGGGATTATGAAAATGGACGTTACCAGTAACTTACATTTAGAAGAGATACACATTCTATGGTTATTAGCTGACTGAATCCTGGTTTTTGAGCCATAGGAGACTATGTATTAGAGATAATTTAAAAAATATATATATTTAATTGATTTTTTACAGAGAGGAAGAGAGAGAGACAGAGAGCTAGAAATGTTGATGAGAGAGAAACATCAACCAGCTGCCTCTTGCACACACCCTACCGGGGATGTGCTCGCAACCAACATACATGCCCCTGACCGGAATCGAACCTGGGACCTTTCAGTCCGCAGACCGACGCTCTACCACTGAGCCAAACCAGTTTCGGCTAGAGATAATTTTTGGTCCAAAGACTAGTATAGTAGAGGCTCTGAATATATATCTGGCCCACTTCCCGGTTTGGTTGGAACATATGTTATTGGCAGTTTTTGAGAGGAAGGCTGATGTAAGAGGAGAGGAGGGTAGCCTTCTGGCTCAGGATTTCTCTCCTTAATATTGCAGTGTGGACAAGAAGGGCCACGTCCACTACTTGATCAAGTGGCGGGACTTGCCTTATGACCAGGCATCCTGGGAGAGTGAGGATGTGGAGATACAGGACTATGACTTGTTCAAGCAGAGCTATTGGAATCACAGGTGAGTCACTTTGGTGTGGAGTAGAGTTGCTTCTTATTGAGGACCTGGACAGTGGTGTGATATCTGTCTTTTTCAGGGAGTTAATGAGGGGTGAAGAAGGGCGACCAGGCAAGAAGCTCAAGAAGGTGAAGCTAAGGAAGTTGGAGAGGCCTCCTGAAACTCCAACAGTTGATGTGAGTTGGGGCAGAAACGGGAGGACACAAGTTATAGGGTAGGACAATGTATCTTGTGTGCTCCAGTCTAGTGATGGTGCAAAGTAATAAGTTTATAGCTGAGAATGCTTCATGAAGTTGTTTGCTCTTTTCGTTGTCAGAAAAATAAAAGCATAGGAGGTGGTGGTGTTTTGTTTTTAATTGATTTTTAGAGGGAGAGAGAGAAACACATTGTTTTTTCATTGCATTCATTGGTTATTTTTTGTATGTACCCTGGCTGGAGATGGAACCTGCAACCTTTGCGTATTGGGACAATTTTCCACCCAACTTAGCTACCTGGCTAGGGCCAGGTGGTGGTGTTTTAACTGACTGAGGAAGTTTTGTGGGGGAAGGAGGCAATCATACAACCAAGCTTTTATGAAACATTGGAACCTGGGTCTTCTTGATCCTTAATTAATGGTTCATTTCCTCTGGGAGTTTTTGTATGAGATGTGGAGACAAGTAAGGTTAAAAAGATGGATTTTGGGGACAGCAGTGGGGATCAGGGAAATATGATTATCTGGTGGGTTCTGACTAGCAGAATTACTGTATTGCTAAGGAAGCTATGATATGTCTTTTCTCAGATATCTGTGGGATCCCAAGACCTCCGTCTTCTGATAAGTTATCAAACACAAAGTTACAATAATTGATGAGGATCTTTTACTCCATAATTTTTTTGTGGCTCCCCCACAAGAAGGCTGTAGTGAAAATGTGTGAGGAGAAGGCAGCTCTGTTATGAAAGGAAGGGAATCTTTTGCTATCTTATGACTTCTTTATTTCATCCTCCAGCCAACAGTGAAGTATGAGCGACAGCCAGAGTACCTGGATGCCACAGGTGGAACCCTGCACCCATATCAAATGGAGGGCTTGAATTGGTTGCGCTTCTCCTGGGCTCAGGGCACAGATACCATCTTGGCTGATGAGATGGGCCTTGGGAAAACTGTCCAGACAGCAGTCTTTCTGTATTCCCTCTACAAGGAGGTAGGAAATTTGGGGCTGTTAGTTCTTTGTGGGGGTATTTTGTGTTCATAGTCTTCTCTTACACTCTGAGGAGAGAGAAGAAAGAAGAAAAAATGATTGCTAACCTTGAATGACAGTAAGGTAGACACATGTACACAGAGAAAGATTTGGGGGCATGGAACCATGGGTAGGATTAGTGGTGGGTGCGTAGAGCCTCTCTGGATTTGTGTTGAGATCAGCAGAACTGTGGGTGGAATTAGTATAGAAAGACTTAATGGAAGAGGTAAGCTTGGTTTTGCGTTCTCTATAATGGTGGGTAAGGCCTGTGGAAAGGAGTAGGCAGGGCGTTTTCATACATAGAGAAGGTCAGGGTAGGAATAGCAGGCATGTGCCAATACTTGGATAGTTTGGGGGGCATGGGGTATCGGTGGGCTCTGGGGTTGTAGTGGAATGGGCCCTGTGTCCTTACTCTGTTCTTTGTTTCTTCTCAAAGGGTCATTCCAAAGGCCCCTTCCTAGTGAGTGCCCCTCTTTCTACTATCATCAACTGGGAGCGGGAGTTTGAAATGTGGGCTCCAGATATGTACGTGGTGACTTACGTGGGTGACAAAGACAGCCGGGCCATCATCCGAGAGAATGAGTTCTCTTTTGAAGACAATGCCATTCGTGGTGGCAAGAAGGCCTCTCGCATGAAGGTATCTCAGTGGAAGGGAGATCACTTTCAAGGGGAATTGTTATGGGCTTTGTTTGTCTCCTGTGACTGGGTTCCTGGGATGAGGCAAGAAGGATGACAGCTGGAAGGAGGGAAAAGCCCCATAAGTCCCTTGGGTTTGCTGACACTGAAAAAGTTGAACAGTAGTAACCAGGTTGTCGTCTTGTGCAGAAAGAGGCATCTGTGAAGTTCCATGTGCTGCTGACGTCCTATGAGCTGATCACCATTGACATGGCTATCTTGGGCTCTATTGACTGGGCCTGCCTCATTGTGGATGAAGCCCATCGGCTCAAGAACAACCAGTCTAAGGTGAGGGGGAAGGGAAGGAGATTATGGCCTCCAGTATCTTTTTAATACCCCTTACTCAAAAGAGGAGACCTAGGAGGAGAGGAAAGGGAAAAACGGTCTTTGCTTTTCTTCATTACTGATAGCCCTTGGTGGCCAGACCTTAAAAGAGGTGGAGTTGGGGGTGGGAAACCGAAGTATTAGGCAGTGAAAAAGCTGGGAGTTCTGCAGAGATATACTACAGCCCTTGTTGCATTGAGTTTCACCTCTCTCCATCTGCTTCTCCAGTTCTTCCGGGTCTTAAATGGTTACTCACTCCAGCATAAGCTGTTGCTGACTGGGACTCCATTACAGAACAACCTAGAAGAGCTATTTCATCTGCTCAACTTTCTCACCCCTGAGAGGTTCCAGTAAGTGTGTGTTAATGTATAATCGGATCATAATTCTGCTTCTGCTCTTCCTGTTGTCCATTTCTTATATCACTTTTCCTTTTCCCTCTCCAACAATGTTTTCCTTTCTCTTTCTGAAGCAATTTGGAAGGCTTCTTGGAGGAGTTTGCTGACATTGCCAAGGAGGATCAGATTAAAAAACTGCATGACATGCTGGGGCCTCACATGTTGCGGCGGCTCAAAGCTGATGTGTTCAAGAATATGCCATCCAAGACAGAGCTGATTGTGCGTGTGGAACTGAGCCCTATGCAAAAGTGAGTCGGAAGGAACAAAATATTGGCTCCATTTTGCAAATACTGTTAGACATCAGCCAGTCTGCAAAGTGTTTTTTTTTTTTTTTTTAATTTCTTTATTAATTAAGGTATCACATATTTGTCCTCATCCCCCCATTCCCATCCCCTCCATCCCTAATCATGTTGTCACCCCCCTGTTGTCCTTGACCACTGGTTAAGCTCATATGTATGCACACAAGTCCTTTGGTTGATCTCTCCCTTTTATCCCCTCCCTTCCTTTGAGGTCCAACAGTCTGATCCATGGCTTCTTTTCTCTGGTTCTGTTCTTGTTCATCAGTCTATGTTGTTCATCATTTCCCCTACATGGTCTTTTTTTTTTTTCTTTTTTCTTTTTAAATATATGTTATTGATTTCAGAGAGGAAAAGAAAAGGGAGAGAGAGGTTGAAACATCAATGATGAGAGAAAACCACCGATTGGTTGCCTCCTGCACACCCCCAAGTGGGGATCAAACCTGAAACCTGGGCATGTGCCCTGATGGGGAAATTGAACCGTGACTTTCTGGTTCATAGGTTGATGCTCAACCACGGAGCCATACTGGCTGGGCTGCAAAGTGTTCCTTATTCCTTACCACCTGCTTCAAGGCATCTGGTGACAGGTGCAAGCAAGGCCTAAAGACATCTAATGCCAGGCAGCTGGAGTTCTTGGTTCTTTTTATTTTTTTCTCTTGGTTCTTATGTAGTTAGTCATACCTTACCTTATTTAAAATGATGGTGGTAGTGCTGGTTAGGTTTCTTTAGATCCAAAGTGAGATATATTGGAAGACCTCAGATCTTAGGACTGCATTTTGAGCCATATGAAGACTTGAGTCTGACTTGCCTTCCTCCCTTGCCCATGCAGGAAATACTACAAGTATATCCTCACTCGAAATTTTGAAGCACTCAACGCTCGAGGTGGTGGCAACCAGGTCTCTCTGCTGAACGTGGTGATGGATCTTAAGAAGTGCTGCAACCACCCGTATCTCTTCCCCGTGGCTGCAATGGTATGTTGTGCCACCTCTTGTTCCTCCCTGGGTTGGAACTGCTCTGTGGGCTTTCTTTCAATGTTTTTTTCTTCTTTGCTTCTCTCCTCAGGAAGCCCCTAAGATGCCTAATGGCATGTATGATGGCAGTGCCCTAATCAGAGCGTCTGGGAAACTATTGCTGCTGCAGAAGATGCTCAAGAACCTTAAGGAGGGTGGGCACCGTGTACTCATCTTCTCTCAGGTATTATGTGGATTGAGCTGGAACCTTTAAGGGATAGCAGTAGATACCCTCAGTGACATGAGGGAAAGAATTTTCATCTGACTTTCCCATAATTAAACTTTCTCCTTTTCCAGATGACCAAGATGCTAGACCTGCTAGAGGATTTTTTGGAACATGAAGGTTATAAATATGAACGTATTGATGGTGGAATCACTGGGAACATGCGTCAAGAAGCCATTGACCGCTTCAACGGTATGAGGGAAAGAGTGGCATTGCTCTAGGCATCCTCATTCACTGTGTCTTTGGACCAGCCACTTGTTCTTCTTGTGTATCTGCTTTTCTGTATAGTTTTGAGTCTTTGTCAATTCATTTGAAAAAAAGTTTTTTTTTAATGTTTTGATAGGAAGAGTGTATTGGACTATTCCTATGAAGTATTTTTCTTTGAAGTCTTCATTCTTTTGCCGGAAAGAATATTTTCTTTAATCATCTTCATTGTATCTTCAGGCCAAGGAGGGACCAGAATTTATCCAAGTACTTATCACAAGTTAGTGGCAGACCTGTCTCAGTAGCTATCACTTTTTTTAATTTTAGTGGTTTTTTTAAAATTTTCATCTGAGGACATACTTATAGGAAAGGGGAGAGAGACATTGATCTGTGAGACAAATATTGATTGGTTACCTTCCATACACTTTCTGACTGAGCATCAGACCTGAAACCCAGGTATGTGCCCTCACTGAGACTTGAACCAGCAACCTTTTGGTGCCCAGGACAACTCTCAACCAACTAAGCCACTGTATCTGGGCCCTACCTTTTCTTTTTTTAAAAATGTTAGACTTAACAAAAAGTTTCAAAAATAGTACAGAGAGTTCCATGTATACTCTTCACACTTCTTCTCTTAGTAAGTTATATAACCACAGTACAAGTCTCAAAATCATGAGATTAGAATTGGTATTATATTGTTAAATAAACTATAGACTAATTGAAATGTCACCAGTTTCCCCCCTAATGTCCTTTTAGTATTTCAGGATCCAAGTCCAGATTCGGCATTAAGTTGTTGATTCTTTTCCTGTATATGACAGTTCTTCATTCTTTTCTTTTCTTTCATGACATTGATACTTTTGATGATTACTGGTCAGCTATTTGTGGAATGTCGTTTTTCTCATGTCCAGATTGAGATGAGACATGTTGGGCAAGAATACTAAGAAGCGATGCTGTGTCCTTTTCATTGCGTCATATTGAGGGAGAGGACATGATGATGTGAATGTCTCATTGTTGGTGATGGTAACCTTGACCACTTGTTCAGGTGGTGTCTGCTGAGTGTCTCCCCATGGTAGTTGATAAATATTTTGAGAGATGTTTGAGACTCTGGTGATACCCTGTTTCTCCTTAAACTTTCATGCTGATTTTATTTTATTTTTATTTTTTTAAATATATTTTTATTGATTTTGTACAGAGAGAAAGGGAGAGAAATAGAGAGTTAGAAACATCGATGAGAGAGTGTCATCGATCAGCTGCATCTTGCACACCCCCTACTGGGGATATGCCTGCAACCAAGGTACATGCCCTTGACCGGAATCGAACCCGGGACCCTTCAGTCCCCAAGCCGACGCTCTATCCATTGAGCCAAACCGGTCTCGGCTCATGCTGATTTTAGTATTCATCAGTGGACCTTGCTTACAATGATTATTTCTGTGGTGTTGGCTCATGAGGTTTTATATTTCTGAAATTCTTTCTATATTTGTTAATTGGAATTCACTAGACACTTCTAATGATGTTTTTGTTTTTTTTCCTAGCACCGGGTGCTCAACAGTTCTGCTTCTTGCTTTCCACTCGAGCTGGGGGTCTTGGGATAAATTTGGCCACTGCTGACACAGTCATTATCTATGATTCTGACTGGAACCCCCATAATGACATTCAGGTGAGCAGAGGTAGCAGTCGTGGTATACAGTAACTTACTAGAAGTGAGGGCTCCACCATCTGGAATTAGTTATTTTCAGGGGAAAACAATAGATTCTTTTTATGTCTTTTATTGTATTGTAAGCCAGAAATTTTGGGTTATCTGTGGTTCTATTTTTGGTAACATGATGGAGGGTGGTGTTTGGGGGCAGTGATACAAAAGGAAGTTCTGTATGAAGGCAAGCTGCAGTTCCTGTCTAGTTCTGGAATTTGTTTATAATGTAGAACTCTTGGTGAGAGTGAAAGCAGGAAAGTGTGGTTACTTTAATTTCTGGCTTCATTCTGTGCCCTCCTCCAGGCCTTTAGCAGAGCTCATCGTATTGGGCAAAATAAGAAGGTGATGATCTATCGGTTTGTGACCCGTGCGTCAGTGGAGGAGCGTATCACGCAGGTGGCAAAAAAGAAGATGATGCTGACGCATCTAGTGGTTCGGCCTGGGCTGGGCTCCAAGACTGGATCCATGTCCAAACAGGAGCTTGATGACATCCTCAAGTTTGGCACTGAGGAATTATTCAAGGATGAAGCCACAGATGGAGGTGAGCTAGTCAGGAACTTGTTTTGGTCTGGGGCCTGGCTTCTAAAGGGTATCTTTGATACCTAGGGTCCTGGGACTTGGACCTAGGATCCTGTGGAACTTGCTTTTTCTACTGGAGCTGCTGAAGCTGACTTTGGGCATATGGATCCTTGATTCTTTATAGGAGGAGACAACAAAGAGGGAGAGGATAGCAGTGTTATCCACTATGATGATAAGGCCATTGAACGACTACTGGACCGTAACCAGGATGAGACTGAAGACACAGAATTGCAGGGCATGAATGAATATTTGAGCTCATTCAAAGTGGCCCAATATGTAGTGCGGGAAGAAGAAATGGGGGTGAGTATGAGTCCAAGGCATTGCTTTGCTTGGTGGTTGATCCAAAATTGCAACTGAAACCAGGATGGTATTTAAAACAGGAAGAAAATATCTATAGGCAAATTAGTACATTGATGAGTTGAATATATGTCTTCTTTTGAAAATAAATACTATGACATGATTAATCACATTTTTATCTTTGCTGTGGCTGTCAGGGAACCCACAGTTTATTCACTCAAAACAGTTATATTAGGTCTTTATAATAATCTCATTTTCTCTTAAGGTATTTTGTTAATCCTACAAATAAACTGTTTGCTTTTCTTTTTTTTTTTCTTTTTTTAATATATTTTATTTATTTTTCACAGAGAGGAAGGGAGAGTGATAGATAGCTAGAAACATCAATGAGAGAGAATCATCGGCCAGCTGCCTCCTGCACACCCCCCCACCGGGGATGTGCCTGCAACCAATGTACATGCCCTTGACCAGAATTGAACCTGGGACCCTTCAGTCTGAAGGCCGATGCTCTATCCACTGAGTCAAACTGGTTAGGGCTATTTGCTTTTTTTTTTTTTCTTTTCAATTTTCATCTAAGGATATTTTTTCCATTGCTTTTTTTTTTTTTTTTTTTTTTTTTTTTTTAAGAGAGGGAGGAGAGAAAGAGGAAGGAAGGGAGGGAGGAGGGAGAGAGGTGAGAGAGACATCAATTGGTTGCCTTCTGTTCATGGATGAGGGTGAGGGTGAACCTGCAACCAAGGTATGTGGAGGTATGTGCCCTTTACTGGGAATCAAACCTTGGAACCTTCATCTGCTGGATGATGCTCTACCCACTGAGCCAAACTGACCAGGACTTGTTTGCTATTTTCAAGTCTATTTGGAGAAAAGACAGGATATAAGAAATATACCTGTAGATAGTCTCTCTGTGCCTTTTAAAATATTAATTGTTGTTTTTCCTTTTTTCCCCCCACTTTCCTTCATTTTCTTGGTCGTTTTTAAGTAAAAAAGAAAACAAAAAACGGAAAAATACTAAAACAGTAATAAAATGTGTGGCATCTGAAATAATTTGTTTTCCCAAATGATAATATTGGGTGTAAAATGAAAAAGCTTTGCCTTCTCCGATGGTCCTCTTTAAACCACTTAGCTCAGGGTTCTTTGAATTGACAAAGGTTATCGTGATCTTTACCATTTTTTCTCAAAGTTTCAACTGAGAACTCTCTCTCTTGCTGTGTGTTTTTTTAAAATTTCTTTATTGATTAATTGCTGTGTTTTTCTGATATGTATCTATTATCTTTGTCCTTGAAGGTGATGTTACTAACCTTAGTTATGTGTAACTGGTTGAAAGCCTGACATAGTTCTCTAGACTAGATTCAATCAAAACGGCCTTCCTGAAGATGCTCCACAGCATGTGATTGGGAAGGGAGGGGTGGTACTCTCCCTCCCATTGATAACCTCTGCTAAGGATTACTCAGGTGACCTTCTTGGTGGTGGCTGTAGTTACTATTTACTTTATAATATTTTAAAATTTTATTTTTTTATTAGATTGTAATTCACATGGTTCAAGATTCAAAAGATACAAAGTTACCTCTCTCACCCTGTCTGGCTACCTAATTCCTTCCCTCCCTATTGATAACTTATGTATCCGGTTTCTTTCCTTTTTTTTTCTTTTAATTCTTTGTTTTTTAAATATATTTTTATTGATTTCAGAGAGGAAGAGAGAGATAGAAACATCAATACTGAGAGAGAATCATCAATCAGCAGCCTCCTGCATGCCCCTCTACTGGGGATCAAGCCCATAAACCAGGCATGTGCCCCTACTGGGAATTAAACCATGACCTCCTGTTTACAGTTTGATGCTCAACCACTGGTCAAGGTGTTTCCTATATGTCTTTCTAAAAGTGTTTTATGTACATAGAAGTTAAATACATATTCATCCATGCACACACATAAACATACAAGTGCATTTTCTCTTTTCCTTTTTAACACAAAAGTAGCTGATTGCGTTTTTTTTTATTGTTGTTAATTATCACCCGAAAATATTTTTCCATTGGTTTTTATATTTTTATTTTTTTAAATATTTTTATTTTTTTAAAATATATTTTATTGATTTTGTACAGAGAGGAAGGGAGAGATATAGAGAGTTAGAAACATCAATGAGAGTCATTGATCAGCTGCCTCTTGCATACCCCCTACTGGGGATATGCCCGCAACCAAGGTACATGCCCTTGACCGGAATCGAACCCGGGACCTTTCAGTCCCCAAGTGACGCTCTATCCATTGAGCCAAACCGGTTTCGGCTATTTTTAAAAAAAATATTTTTATTGATTTTAGAAAGGAAGGGAGAAGAAAAGAGAGATAGAAATATCAATGATGAAAGAGAATCATTGGTCAGCTGCCTACTGCACACCCCCTCCTGGGGGTCAAGCCTGCAACCTGGGCATATATCCTGACCAGGAATTGAACCACGACCTCCTGGTTCATAAATGGACACTGAATCACTAAGCCACTCCTACTGGCTTTCCATTTGCATTTATTTATTTATTTATTTATTTATGTGTATTGTGGCCCCCCCCCCCCCTGATATTTAGAGAGAGTAGAATGGAGAGGGAGAGACAGGAACATTGATGTGAGACACATTGATTGGTTACCTCCTCCGCATGTGCTCCCTGATCAGGGCTGGGGATTGAGTCTGCAACCAAGGTACGTACCATTGACTGGAACTGAACCCAGGACTCGTCAGACCAACGCTCTGTGCACTGAGCCAAATCGGCTATGGTGGAAGTAGTTTCTTATACATAATGTTCTCTACCTTGCTTTTGTCTGCTTAATAAATCTTTAAGATGCAGTCTAAATCAGCACATAAAAAACTCTCCAACTTTTCCCCCCTGCATAGTATATCCTTGTTTGAAAGTACCATAATTTATTTTTAAAAATTGAGGTATAACTGATATATAATGTTGGTTTCAGGTGTGCACCATAATAATTTGTTAATTTGTGTATATGTTGTGAAATGAACATAATAAATCTGGTTAATCTCTACTGCAATATAGTTACAAATTTTTTTTTCTTCTGAGAACTTTAAGACTGATGACACGCTAAGCAATTTTCAAATATGTAATATAGTATCATTATAGTCACCATGTTGTACATTATATTTCCATTACTTATTTATTTTATAATTGGAAGTTTGTACCTTTTGATCCCTCATCCACCCCAAACCCCAACATTTATTTTATTAATTTAACAAATGATGGACATTTAGGTTGTTTTTAATATTATGCTAGTAGCAGCAGTTTAATTCCTTTTTAAAAATATCTTATTTTTATTGATTTCAAAGATAAAGGGACAGGGAGAGAAAGAAACATCGATGATGGAACGGAATAATTGATTGGCTGCCTCCTGCACTTCCTACACTGGGGATTGAGCCTACAACCCAGGCATGTGCCCTGACCAGGAATTGAACCATGACTTCCTGGTTCATAGGGCAATGTTCAATCACTGAGCCGTGCCAGCTGGGCTAATCTATATATATTTAAAAACCTAAGTGGCTGAATGAACAAACAACCAGTTGCTATAATGCGCACTGACCACCAGGGGGAAGGCACCCAATGCAGGAGTTTCCCCCTGGTGGTCAGTGTGCTCCCATAGCAACCTCTCGTGGCCCACCAACCTTCTGCCGTCCCTCCCCACCAACCCACAGGCCCTGATAAGCCAATTGGGAATGGCAAGAAGGCCTGATCAGTCCTGATGATCACTAGTCAGGTCAAGGGACCCCACCCATGCACAACTCATGCACTAGTTCTAACAAAAGGGATTTGGAATCAGTTAGTGCTGTGATGGGCAAACTGCGGCTCATGAGCCACATGCGGCTCTTTGGCCCCTTGAGTGTGGCTCTTCTACAAAATACCACGGCCTGGGCGAGTCTATTTTGAAGAAGTGACATTTAGAAGTTTAAGCTTAAAAAATTTGGCTCTCAAAAGAAATTTCAATCGTCGTACTGTTGATATTTGGCTCTGTTGACTAATAACTGCAGACCACTGAGTTAATCCTGAAATGTCTGAAAAACTAATAAGACTTTCAGAGAAGCATAAACTTTACAGGGACATAGGATGATATATACAGGGTGTCCCCCCAAAAATGTATACATACTTCAAATGATTACAAAGTCAGTATTTATTAACATATAGTTCACTTTTGAATTTAAAAGAATCTATAGAAATGTATAATTAAAATTTTATTGATTTCTGAGAGGAAGGAAGACATCAGTGATGAGAGAATGATTGCTTGGCTCTTTCCTGCAAACTCCCTACTGGGGATTGAGCCCACAATCTGGGCATGTGACCTGACCAGGAATCGAATTATGACCTTGTTCATAGTCCATGTTCAACCACTGAGCCACACAGGCCAGGGAGTAATTTTTTTTTTTTTTTTCAATGTCTGTTTTCAAACTGATGTCCGTTCTATTCTGGTCCAGGCACTGCTGATGACTGGTGCCAGTTTTGAACCATAAACTTTATTATGTATTCCCATTAAAAAATGGCACTTTATGATAAATCATCTTTGTTCAAAGCTTAGTCTGGCTTCATCCATTATTTCAAACCAGTTAAACCTGAAAAGAAGTTTAAATTAAGTGAGTTGTCAACTGTTAAAGTTTGCATACAATTTTGGGGGGTACCCTATATGTATAATTCTGTTTTTTGCGCACATTTGATAACCATTGTGAAGTTTAGAAGAGCACAATTGTCCTACTTTATCTGTTGTGAAAATCTTTTGCAGGATTTTAGGAGTGGTTCCATTCTGTCTTGCTAAGGCTCTAACTTCTTTTTTCTTCATTTGCAGTCTCCCAACTGTGTATGTGTCAATAAAAAGGGTAGAAGAAACACACTATATCTTTACCCATCTCTTGTGATAATGGCTCCGTTCCATGTTTTTTTTTTTTTTTTTTTTAGTTATGTTGACTGCCGATCGACACATAATTATGAGGAGCCATGTTGTGTTACTTCAATTTCTTTTAAGTTCTTAGGTTCAAGCAGGCACACCAAGTATTTCAGAGTCCAGTCATGCAAAGGAACTAGCAGAATGGGAACTGTGAGGACCAGGGGTAGCTGGTGGTGCTGACTTCAGCACCCCTGAGTCCTGGCCCTCCCTCTGTCCCAGGAGGAAGAGGAGGTAGAACGGGAAATCATAAAACAGGAAGAAAGTGTGGATCCTGACTACTGGGAGAAATTGCTGCGGCACCATTATGAGCAGCAGCAAGAAGATTTGGCCCGAAATCTGGGCAAAGGAAAAAGAATCCGTAAACAGGTCAACTACAATGATGGCTCGCAGGAGGACCGAGGTGTGTGTGGCCGGCCCCGCCCCCCACCCATGGGCCGTTCCACTAGAGCAGTGGGCCCCGCTCATCTGCCCTCTCTTCCTCCAGATTGGCAGGACGACCAGTCCGACAACCAGTCCGATTATTCAGTGGCTTCAGAGGAAGGTGATGAAGACTTTGATGAACGTTCAGAAGGTGAGGGCTGTGCTTCTCTTCTTGTTTACATATTGCTTGTCGAATGCCCTACCAGTGTCACTCATGCATTCTTTTCTTCTTGCAGCTCCCCGCAGGCCCAGTCGCAAGGGCCTGCGGAATGACAAAGATAAACCATTGCCTCCTCTGTTGGCCCGTGTGGGTGGGAATATTGAAGTAAGTGCTTTATGATTCTAGGGAGGGGTGGCTTAGTGCTGATATTGGGTCTTTGGTGGAATAAGACCTGCTCCCACTCACCTAGGTTCCTTCTCCCCCTAGGTACTTGGTTTTAATGCTCGGCAGCGAAAAGCCTTTCTTAATGCAATTATGCGATATGGGATGCCACCTCAGGATGCTTTTACCACTCAGTGGCTTGTGAGAGATCTACGAGGCAAGTCAGAGAAAGAATTCAAGTAAGTTGAGAGATGGAATAGGATTGACATAGTGCAAGGGCTTCTATAGCACTAGTCCAGCTGTGCAGGGAAATGGGCTGTTTCCTCTGATGAAGTTGGCAGGTGAAGCTCTTAGTAATAAGGTTGTGTTCCTATCTGGGACATGGCTTGGAATTTGGCGACCAGCTTTCACTGTGATGATGGGCTTTACCTCAGGATGAAGCCATAGTCATCTGGGATAATACCTAATCGGTGGTGTGGAGAAAGCTGGTCTAGGAGTTGGCATAATCGCTGTTTAACTCATTTCTCTATTTCTTCACTTCAGGGCTTATGTCTCTCTTTTTATGCGGCATTTATGTGAGCCAGGAGCAGATGGGGCTGAGACCTTTGCTGATGGTGTCCCCCGAGAAGGCCTGTCTCGCCAGCATGTTCTTACTAGGATTGGTGTCATGTCCTTGATTCGCAAGAAGGTGAGCCCTGAGCTTCTCTCCATTGTTGAGAGTTTCTAGGGGAAACTGGAAAGCCATAGGAACAGAACCTAGAGCTAGTATTGGATCTTCAACATCTTGTCCTGTTGCTGTAGGTTCAGGAATTTGAGCATGTTAATGGGCGCTGGAGTATGCCTGAACTCGCTGAAGTAGAGGAAAACAAGAAAATGTCCCAACCAGGGTCACCTTCCCCAAAGACACCTACACCCTCTACTCCAGGGGACACACAACCCAATACTCCTGCACCTGCCCCACCAGCTGGTAAGTCTGCTGTACTGTCATTTCTGTTCCTTTGCTCTTGTCCTGGCCTATGCTTTCTCTGCTCACCTGTGCTCAGCATCACAGGGGAGTCTGGCAGGACACACAGCAACCTCCCTCTCAGTTTAGGAGGGCCGTCCTGAGTATAGGGCTGGCTCTTAAAGGCACGAGAGGACAATTTAAGATAAGCCAGACTGAGAAGATATGGCATTCTCTCTGATCCAGGACCTTCTTCCTAATCAGTTGTCTTCTGTTGGTTGCAGAGGATGGGATAAAAATAGAGGAAAACAGCATCAAAGATGAAGAGAGCGCAGAAGGAGAAAAGGAGGTTAAATCTGCAGCATCTGAGGCTGCTGTTGAGGTAAGAGATGGTTGTGACTGGATGCCATACCAAAGACAGATGGATAAACCCACACCTTTTCATTGCTGGCCTGTCTGCTTCATCTTTTGTCTTTTTTCCTTTAAGTGTCCACAGCCCCCTGCCCCTGCCGTGGAGGATGAAAAGGTCCTTGTTGAACCTCCTGAGGGAGAGGAGAAAGTGGAAAAGGCAGAGGTGAAAGAGAGGACAGAGGAACCCATGGAGACAGAATCCAAAGGTATCCACATTTTCAAGCACTACAGATCCCTGTGTAAATAAGTTGTTCATGGAATTCCAGACAGGCTGTAGGATGTCAGGAGGAAGTAACACACTGAAGAATCCCATACACCACTTATGACATCTTTTAAGGTTTTAAGCAAAGATTTCGGTTTAGGGTGTTCCAGTTGGATGTAATGTGGAACAGCGGAGAACATTCTTCTTTAGATACATTCTCAGTGTGATCTGTTCCTTCCAGGTGTTGCAGATGTGGAGAAGGTGGAGGAGAAGTCAGCAATAGATCTGACTCCCATTGTGGTGGAGGACAAAGGTTGGTGTTTGAAGAAGCTGATTGTAGTTTGGGAGGACTCTGAAACTAGAAGCGAGGACTTTATCTCTGGGACATCCCTCTTCCAACCTCCCCTTCCTATCCACATCCATATATCCAGTATCCCAAGTGACTGCTCCATTTGTCCCCACAGTTAGTTGTCATTGGGCCAGTGGCACCTTTTCTGGGTTTGAGAAACACCTGTGTGGAGAAAGGATGGAGGTGGATGATTTCTTGTAGCACATGTGCTATGGATAAGGGCCACAGTGTCTGGAGCTAACGTTTTCTCCTGCATATCCTGTAGAAGAGAAGAAAGAAGAAGAGGAGAAAAAAGAGGTGATGCTTCAGAATGGAGAGACTCCCAAGGACCTGACTGATGAGAAGCAAAAAAAAAACATTAAACAGCGTTTCATGTTCAACATTGCCGATGGTGGTTTTACTGGTAAGAAAATGAGGGGCCCTCTGAGGTTACAAGGATCTGACGTGGAATTATGGTTGTTATTAGAAACCAGGGTACAGTGGTTTAACCTCTAGTAGATGAGGAAAGCTAGGCTGATTGCATTCTCCTCTGGGTTCCATGTTAGAAAGCCACAGGCATAGTATTAAAATGGTATCGGGGGGATAGGAATAAATAGTATTTTGAATTCTCACAGATGTGTACCTTTCTTTTTCTCCTCAACCTTCCTTAAATTCCTCTTTAGAGTTGCACTCCCTTTGGCAGAATGAAGAGCGTGCAGCCACAGTCACCAAGAAGACTTACGAGATCTGGCATCGACGGCATGACTACTGGTTGCTGGCTGGCATCATAAAGTATCCTTTTCCTGAGTCTGGGTTGTGATTCTTAGTGAAGGTTTCTGAAGGTTCCACAGACTGAGGTTCTTACATTCCTTGTTTTGTTTTTCCTGAGCAATTTTCCAACAGCCATGGCTATGCCCGGTGGCAGGACATCCAGAATGACCCACGCTATGCCATCCTCAATGAGCCTTTCAAGGGTGAAATGAACCGTGGAAATTTCTTAGAGATCAAGAATAAATTTCTAGCACGAAGGTTTAAGGTGAGCAGAATGAGGAGGAATATCATATTGAAATGGCAGCCCTTTAAGTACAGAAGGGACTGCAAAGGAGGGAATCTGTTCATTTAACCGTACTATTTATTGTGTTCTGTGTGCTGAACTTTTTTTTTTTTTTTTAAAGGAAGTGGAACTTTCCTGTTTCTTTTTAATATATTTTATTGATTTTTTTACAGAGAGGAAGAGAGAGGAATAGAGTTAGAAACATCACTGAGAGAGAATCATCAATCAGCTGCCTCTTGCACACCCCCTACTGGTACATGCCCTTGACCGGAATCGAACCTGGGACCTTTCAGTCCGCAGGCTGATGCTCTATCCACTGAGCCAAACTGGTTTCGGCTGTGTGCTGAACTTCTGTATTCTGTGAAAGGCTTTGTTTCTAAGTATCTTCAGTGTTAAAGATTAAGACATACAGATGTGAAAATTAACCAGCTGTTCAAGGGCTGAAGATGATTGTCTAATGAATGACACAGACTTTAGTGTCTTGGGTGTGTTGGTGAACACTGTAGGTTGGAGTGTTCAGGAAAGATACAGAGATGGATTGAGTTAGCTCTCCGAGGAGGCAGGGCTGTCCGTGGGCTGGTGGTACTTTATTCTGGGTCTGAGAGTACCTATGTGGATAAGGGGAGGACTGGATACTAAAAGAAGATGCAAAGTAGAGAGCTCTAGTTTCAGAATCACTAGGGCTAAGAAGCCCAGGACTGGAGAAAGTCTTACTTGGAAATTAGCAAACATGTATTGAGAACACCTGTGTGCAGACCATCAAAATGGGAAAATGGATACCATGAAGACAAGACATGTGGCTCTAAACCCAAGTACAATTTGGGGAATAAGAAATGTACACTAATAGCCCTAGCTGATTTGGCTCGATGGATAGAGCATCAGCCTGCGGACTGTACGCTCCCAGGTCCGAATCCAGTCAAGGGCACGTTTTTGGGTTTCGGGCTCAATCCCCTGTGGGGGGCATGCAGGAGGCAGCTGATGAATGATTCTCTTTCATCATTAATGTTCTCTTTTCCTCTCTCTCTACAAAAGTTATATATGTGTGTGTGTGTGTGTAAAAAGAAATGTATACTAATAAAACTTCAAACATTATGTATCAAGCAATGAGTGGCACAAGGATACAAAGACAAATAAGGCATAGTGCCTGTTCTCAAGGTACTTTCAGTTTAATGTAGAGGCAAATAGGGGATTAAGTGAATGCCATTCTGGGTATTGGGAGGGAGATTGCTGAATCCATAAGAAAGTTATCCAGCCCTAATCGATTTGGCTCACTGGATAGAGAGTTGGCCTGTGGACTGAAGGGACCCGGGTTCGATTCCCGTCAAGGGCATGTTACCTTGGTTGTGGGCATATCCCCAGTGGGGGGTGTGCAGGAGGCAGCTGATCTGTGTTTTTCTCTCATCGATGTTTCTAACTCTATTCCTCTTCCTTTCTCTCTGTAAAAAATCGATGAAATATATTTAAAAAAGAATAAGTTCTCCAGATGGAATTTGGGGAGTGAGGAGAGTTCACAAATGGCTGCATGGGGAGTTAAGTTTTGATGAATGTAATTGGAGATTGGAATGGATAGATACAGAAGGCTAAACTGAAACTGAAACTGAAACTGATTAAACCAAGCAAAGACATAAAGGCAGCAGAGCTTAGGATGCTTGGAAGCAAGTTGGTCCAGTTGGGTTATAGAAAAAACACTTGTGGGAGGTTGTAGAGAGAGGTAAGGGCTAGAGGTCAGTAGGTAAGTTTTTGGCACTGGATAAGAGTATGGACTTTACCCTATAGTTAATGGATAGCCATTAAAGTTTTGTGAAGAGTTTTGATATGACTAAGGAAAATGGGAATAATATTCATGAAATTATAGAACTACTAAAGGCCTGATACACGGAATTTGTGCAAGGCCAAAGGGCTCGCCCTCAGCAGGCTGCCTCTTGGCCCCGCCCACTCGTTCTGGAAGATCAGTCAGCCATCTGGACTAATTAGCATATTAGCTCTATTATATAGGATCATATTGTGAGGTAGTTAGGGCTGATCTATGATGCTGGCTGTGGGAAATGAAAAGGATATGGTAAAGGAAATAATTTATGGAATTTACTGATTTATTGTAGGGGTCAGTAAACCTTTTCTATTAAAAGGCCAGAAAGTAACTATTTTGGGCTTTTGTGGATATATGATCTTTGTTGCAAATACTCAACTCATGAAAGCTGCCATGGGTGATAAATAAGTATGAATAAGTATGAATAAAGCTTTATTTGTCAACACTCAGATTTGAACTTCATATAATTTTTATGAAATGTCACAAACTATTTTCACTTTTCAGCTATTTAAAAACTGTAAAATAAAAATTCTTAGCTCATATAAAAATAGGCAACAGACCCAATTTGGCCCCCAGGCCATAGTTTGCTGACCTGTCATTTACTGGATTTGAGATACAAAGGAATAAGCCTTCAAAAATAACTAAAGCTTTGAGCCTGAGTTACTGAGAAAATTAAATAATCATTGGCAGATCAGGAAAATGAGGAGGAGAGGGAACAGTTTGTAGAAAAGAGGAAGTTCAGTTTTAGGCAAGTCAATTGGTGTTTCTCACCAGCAAATAATTTCTCACCAGCAAATAACCTTTCCATTACCTGTGCCACCATAAACAAGTGGGATCAAAGAGTGACCATCATACATGAGTGCAATCAGAACAATCTGTGCTTGACCTGCAGGTTTGAAAAGTCATTTGCATATAGATTCTGGCTGACCTAGGAGAGGAAGAGATCTCTTGGAAAAAACGATCTCTTGGGAGAATACTTTAAAAGAACAGCAGCAAGTTAAGAACTGATCCTAGAAAAAGCTAGTTTGGTGCAGGAAGAGGGAGTTGGTGAAGGAGACGGGTATATGGATTGAAAGTGGATGCTTGGTCTGTTTGAATGTAAATGAGTAGGCCCTGCTGGAGCCAAATCTTATGGAAGAAACAGCAACCTATTATCCTCATGCTGTCCTTTTTCCTGACCCCTACTGCATTCTTTCTACCAGTGGATGTGTGAGCAAATTAAGTCTCATAACTTCTGAATCAATATTCTGTCTCTTGTAATATATTTCAAAGACGCTTTTACACAGCTCCATCAGGTGACAGCTACAAGAGTATGTTGCAGTATGATTTTTGGTATTTGGAAACAACCTGGCTGTTTGAAATTGGGAGTGTGGATAGATAAAATATGGATTCACATCATGGAGCACTAAGCAACAGCTAGAAGCAACAAAATACATAACACCATAAATGGACACTTTAAGAAGATAACACAGTGGGGAAAGGAAGAAAAGCATTTTATATATGTAGAACATTCTGTAAATTAGAAATGTGCACAAACTTCAGGAACACCCACCAAAAGACACACAGTAAGTATATTAGAAGTGTTACCTATTGGTGAAGCGAGGAATGGAAGTGAGATATGAGACAAAGTAAGCAAAAATTTTTTTTGAGCATTTTTTTTTTTAAGAGAAAGGGAGAGGGGGAGAGAGAGCAAGACATTGATTAGCTGCCTCCTGCATGCCCCCTATGGGGAATCAAGCCTGCAACCTGAATATGTACCCTGACTGGGATTCAAACTCACAACCTTTTGGTGCACAGGACAACGCCCACACAACTGAGCCAGGGCCAAACATTTTAAAGAGTAAAACAACTGAAATGATACGATGTAGATATATCCATGGGATGGACTACCATGCAAACCATTAAGAATCTTTATTTTATTAAGTGCAGCTAAGAACAAAGGAAGATGCTTACTATGTAACTTTTAGTGAAACATAGATATGTATATATAGTTTCAATTACGTAAAAAATACCTATGGGAAGAAAAATCTCAGAATGCTAACAGTATCTCTAGGAGGTAAGATTATTTGTGATTCTAATTTTTTATGCATTCTGAGAGACCCATGCATTCTGAGTAACCCTAGCCAGTTTGGATGAGTGGTTAGAGCGTTGGCCCATGGACTGAAGGGTTGTGGGTTTGATTCTGGTCAAGGGCACACACCTTTGTTGCAGGCTTGATTCCTGGCCTTGGTCAGGGTACGTGCAGGAGGCAACCATTTGATGTGTCTCTCTCACATTGATGTTTCCTTCTCTCTGTCTCTCCCCCTTCTACTCTCTCAAAATCGATGGAAAAAATAATCTTGGGTGAGAATTGACCAGAACAAAAGAAACAGGCAAAGTGAGTATCACTCTAAATCCCATCTCCTCTTTATCCCTCGTCCAGCTTCTAGAACAAGCCCTGGTCATTGAGGAACAGCTTCGGCGGGCAGCTTACCTGAACATGTCAGAGGACCCTTCTCACCCTTCTATGGCTCTCAATACCCGCTTTGCTGAGGTGGAGTGTTTGGCAGAGAGTCATCAACACCTGTCCAAGGAGTCGATGGCAGGAAACAAGCCTGCCAATGCGGTCCTGCACAAAGGTAGCCAGTGACCCCTCTGCCTCCTGCTGACTCAGAGTCCTTCCTCCTCCGCCTCTCCCCAAAACACATTTCTTGTTTCCAAAACCTTTTTCAGGGTCCTTATGTCTGGGTGCTTAAGATGTACTGGGGATCTGTGCCTTCCTCCTTGGGAAGCTATTATCTTAAAGGCAATTAAGGGATAGTAGTTTTTTTGTTTTTGTTTTTTTCCCCCTCTTTTAATATATTCAGGTTCTTGGAGGTGGGAAGCAAAGTAGAATAATATAATGTCATCTGGGATACTTTAGCGGTAACTTAAGGTGATTTAAGATCCCGACAAATCTAGACCCCTTTATTTTTTTTCCTCTTTTATTTATTTATTATTATTTTTTTATTGATTTTGTACAGAAAGGAAGGGAGAGAGATAGAAACATCGATGAGAGAGAGTCATCAATCAGCTGCCTCTTGCACACCCCCAATGGGGATGTGCCCGCAACCAAGGTACATGCCCTTGACCAGAATCGAACTCGGGACCCTTCAGTCCCCAAGCCGTCACTCTATCCAGTGAGCCAAACCGGTTTCGGCTAGACCCCTTTCTAATTAAAGTTAAAACATTGGGAGGTGGAGGGTGAAATGAGGAAAAGAAGGCATAAATAAAGGAAAAGGAGACAGCTCCAAAAGGTGGAGAGGAAAGATAGTGAGAAAAGGAAACACAGGAAGTCAAGAAGTAGAAGAAGTAGAGACAAGAGGGAGCAAATGACAGTGAGGGTTAGGTGACTTTAAAAGGCCTAGATACCAAATAACCACGGATGTGAAGCACAGCACAGGGAATATTGTCAATACTGTAATGACAGTGTGCGGTGTCAGATGGCACTAGACTGTTATCAGGGGCATCACTTTTATTTCTATTTATTTATTTTTTAAAATATATTTTATTGATTTTGTACAGAGAGGAAGGGAGAGAGATAGTTAGAAACATCGATGAGAGTCATTGATCAGCTGCCTCTTGCACACCCTCTACTGGGAATGTGCCCGCAACCAAGGTACATGCCCTTGACCGGAATTGAACCCAGGACCTTTCAGTCCCCAAGCCGACGCTCTATCCCCTGAGCCACACCGATCTCGGCAGGGGTTATCACTTTTACATTGATCATCAAGCCACCATGCTGTACACCTGAAAATAACATAAAATAATATTGAATGTCAACTGTAATTAAAAATAAAAATTTTAAAAAGGCCAGGTCGGGAGACTCTAATAAAGGACAATACTCCACTTCAATCACTTGGTCATTGAGAAGCCATGGGCAGGGCACAGGTCCACTGTAGTCTTCACCACGAATCACCACCATTTTTTCTCCCCATGCAGTTCTGAAACAGCTAGAAGAACTGCTGAGTGACATGAAAGCTGATGTGACTCGACTCCCAGCTACTATTGCCCGAATTCCCCCAGTTGCTGTGAGGCTACAGATGTCAGAGCGTAACATTCTCAGCCGCCTGGCAAACCGAGCGCCTGAACCTACTCCGCAGCAGGTAGGACCGTTTTCTTTCTTCTTTTTAAATATATTTTTACTGATTTCAGAGAGTAAAGGAGGGTGAGAGAGAGATAGAAATACCAATGATGAGAATCATTGATCGGCTGCCTCTTGCACGCCCCACACTGGGGACCAAACCCGCAAGCTGTGTATGTGCCCTTGGCTGGAATCGAACCTGGGACCCTTCAGTCTACAAGCTGACACTCTATCCACTGAGCCAAACCAGCCAGGGCTGGACCATTTTCTCATGGTCTCTGTCCCAGCAGAGCCATTTGGAACTTGTAACTTTCACTCTCTGTCCCTCACTGGGCAGGTGGGGGCTTCCTACCAGGGAGTTCTCTTGGGACCTGGTGAATACCTTGGTTTGGAATTCTGACGTCCATGTCTCTCTTTTGCTCTAGGTAGCCCAGCAGCAGTGAAGATCCAGACTGACGATAACCACCTTCACCGCTGAGCAATGAACGACCTTCCTCACTTTCCCTTGCCCAGCTTCTTCCTTGGGGGCCTGAAAGACCCTCTCCTTCCTTCTGCCCATCTTCCATGTTGTAAAGGAATGGCCCCAGTCTGCTAGGGGAGGGGAGGGAGTGAGGGCAGTGGTGCCCTTCCTGCTGGAGAGAATGCAGCAGTAGCGCCGGCGCCATCTGCAGGAAGCTGGCGGGCTGGCTGGCCTTCTTCTGGGCCCTGGCTTTCCCCACTGTAACGTCTGTTACACACAAACTGTTGTGGGTTCCTGCCAGGCTTGAAGAAAACGATCTGAATTTCTTCGTTCTTTTGGTTTTATCTTGTTGATTTATTTTGTGTTTTCTTTTCTCCTTTTTTGGGGTATTTGGAGTGGGCTGGGCCCCTGGGTGAGACACAGCTACCTCTGTTGGCATCTTTTTAATACCAGGAACCCAGCGGCTCCAGCCACGGCTAGAATGAAATAAAGTTTGGAAAAAAAAAAAAAAGAAAAAAAAAGGAAAAGAACCAAAAGCATAAAAACCACAGCAAAATTTCTTGATGAAAATTGAAAATAAAAGTTTCCTTGTATTTTAGTGCTCTGGTTGAGTGTGGGTTGTAGGAGCAGGTGGATGCATGTGTATGACCGGAGCCCTGGGAAATGTGTAATTGGAAACTAAAGGTTTCCATGGGTTCTGATAGTTGACAAAAGCACTCCTGTCGTGTGCATGTGCCCTGTGCTCCAGACCGAGGGAGACGCCGCATTCTCCCCTGGAAAAGGGGCTCCCAACTGCCTGGGCGCACACCCTGTCCTGCCTGCCATTTCATGGCTGTGTGACCGAGTAACTTTTCTGGGCTTAGGTTTCCCGTGTATAAAATAATCTTCAGAAAGTTGGGAAGGTACATCCAGTAACAGTGCTTGGGGCAGTGTTTAACAGCTGCTGAACACTATCTTAGTGTAAGTGGGAAGGCTGAAACAGTTTTTCCTTGCTCACTTGTATGAAGTCAAGATGCAATATGTCCACCTGATCCCCAGATGTGAAGCTAAGGTGACCAGACGTCCCGCTTTTGGCAGGACAGTCCCAATTTTTAACAATTTGTCCCGCAGCATTTTAAAAAAGTCCCAATTTTTGGAAAGAATGCACGACAAGCTAGGGAATGACAGGAGAATGGAAGGGAATATAGTTTTTGGCGGCAATGTGGCTATTTAGCCAGGATATGAGTTTTATATTTTTGTTAATTTTATAATGTTAAACTTTAATAATAACAAATAATTGTTGAGAACTGCTTATCAAAGTTCGCAATATTGATAAGTTGTTAGAATTCGACCACCATTGTTTGGACTTAACAATGGCATTTTTTGGGATTGGCAACGATGAAAACATTTTATAACTCTCAGACGATACACTTACTGGTGCCAGTAAGCTAGTTAAACAAGTGATGTCATTATAAATTAGCTATTCAGATAATTTAGGTATTTCATAAATACATAAATTTTCTTGAATTTAGCAGACAGTACTCGTATTATATTTTATAGTGGTGGCAAAAACTCTAGTGCCCGCCTTAAAAATGACGTGACTTAAGTTACAACAGGTTCAGAGGAAAAATAATACCAGTTAGTATTATTGTTATTTAGAAATAATAATCCTATTATTATAGGATTAAAATTAAAATAAATTTTAAAATAGTTACTTTATAACAATTTAATTTATAAACTAACAAAATATGTTCATGTAATTATGTGCCCTGTTTCCCTGAAAATAAGACAGTGTCATATTAATTTTTGCTCCCAAAGATATGCTAGGTTTTATTTTCAGAGGATGTCTTATTTTTCCATGAAGAAGAATACGGTACACATTTATTGTTAAATGAAAATAAAGGAAATTTATTACCTGTATATGGTACGGTAGTACGGTAGTTGTCAACACAAACCAGACAAACTGAATCCTACAGTATCAAGAATTTACTCATTTATTCAATGACAATCATGTCATCATCATCTGGAACATCATAATCCAATTTCTGAATTTCTTGGTGAATTTCTTGTGATTCCATTTCTTTCAGAATCAGTGGACCAAATCATGTTTAGCCTGGGGGGGGCTTATTTTCGGGGGGGATGCCTTATATTTCACTCAGGAAACCTGTAAGTAGGTCTTATTTTAGGAGGATGTCTTATTTTCGGGGAAACACGGTACCTACTTACTGTGTTTTAAAGCAATATGTAAATAACTTATAGACCAAATTTTTAATCAAGAATACCCCCTCCCCCTCGTCAATGGTGTCCCGCTTTACCAATGTTAAAATCTGTCACCTTAAGCTAAGCAGATAACTACCTAATGGGCTGAACAGGGGTCCATGGGATAAAGGAAGAGGGTTCATAATTATGGGTTGGGAGAAGGCCAGGGGCCTGGGATTCTATGATCTTCGGGGCACGGGGGAGGTGCCAGGAGGAGGGCCCGGCTATTTCGCATTGGTTTGGGGTGATGGGGAGGCCTGCAGGTATCAATTTTCCCAACTGAAACATGCACTGAGGCAAAACGCCAAGGCCCCAAGGCAGGCAGGGGAGGGCGCGGAAGCTGAGAACGGCCCCGCCTCCATTGCCTTCCCTCAGGGAGTCAGTAGAGTGGTCCGCTCCCGAATTTTCCCCGGCAGCACGCACCCCGCCTGGCGCGCGTTCCCAGGGCGCCCGTGACTTCCGGGTTCTGCGGCGACCGGAAGGGGCGGGGCCACCCGGCGAGCGCGCTTCGTGCGTCGGCGTAAAACTTCCTGGGAGAGTGGCGTCCGACCCGTAGCCTCCGACTGCACGTGGGTAGCTGTCCCTGCTGCCGAAGGCGCGTCTCGGGCCTGGACCCGCTTTCAGGTGAGCCGAGGCTTCGGAGGTTCTGGAGGAAGTCGGGGGAGGGATCGCTGGCCTGGGCTGGGTCGCGAGGACAGGGACGCTGTGCAAATAGCGTGGAGTCCGGGTCTACGTCGTGGAAGGAGTTTGGTCTGAATCGAGGTTTTGGCGGAGATGATGCCCTTTCCCACTCTCATACGCCGAGTCTGCGGTCTGCCTTTCCCTTTCCAACATGGGCGACTCCCATTTTTCTTTTCCCCAGTGTCATGGGGCGCAAATTGGACCCTACCAAGAAGGAGAAGCGCGGGCCCGGCCGAAAGGCCCGGAAACAGAAGGGCGCCGAGACCGAGCTCGCCAGGTTCTTGCCTGCAGGTGAGGAAGGGTCAAGCATGCCTTCTGATTCTCCAGCTTGTGCGCCGCTTTTCCCATATACACGCATAACCTTCATTTTATTTAGTCTCTCCGCTTCCTGTTGAAGTGGAATCTTTTCTAGGAATAAGTATGAATGAATCCCCCACATCAGCGTTTAGAGCTTAGGGAAGAAGCGACAGGGACACAAGTACTCATAACAAGGAGAGGTTTAACTCGGAAGGAGTCCAAATGAAGGTGTCCTCACGCAGTGAGAGAACTTAGATTTAAGCACATGGGTTTTGAAGAATGGATGCCATTTTATTTACTTGTTTTTAAAATATATTTGCTATTGATTTCAGAGAGGAAAGGAGAGGGAGTTAGAAACATCAGTGATGAGCCGGGACCGGTTTGGCTCAATGGATAGAGCGTCGGCTTGGGGACTGAAGGGTCCCGGATTCGATTCCGGTCAAGGGCATGTACCTTGGTTGCGGGCATATCCCCAGTGGGGGGTGTGCAAGAGGCAGCTGATCAATGATCTCTCTCATTGATGTTTCTAACTGTCTATCCCTCTCCCTTCCTCTCTGTACAAAAATCAATAAAATATATTTAAGAAAAAAAAAAAAAAGAAACATCAGTGATGAGAGAGAATCTTTGATTAGCTGCCTCCTCCTGGTTTATGGGTCAACACTCAACCAATGAGCCACTGGCTGGGCTGGGTGACATTCTAGCAAATTGGAAGTTGGGAAGGGGACAGGCCAGTTCCTGTGAACTGCAATGTGGAGGGGATGGAGATGGAAGCACACAAATCTGGTTCCCACATGTGAGCAGTCCGCTTCTTGGAAGACTGGTAGAGGAGACAGGTAGTTTGCATTGCACGTTGGAGACAAGCTGCAGTTCATTGAGCTGAGCCCTTTGGACACATTGCTTCATTCTCTTAGTGCCTGTGAGAAAGGCACTGTTGAAGTGGGTGTTGAGAGATTACTTGCATAGTTACTAAATGAAGGGTTGAGATTTAAACCTTTTATTTCTTCCCGGGACCTGTTTGGCTCAGTGGATAGAGCGTTGGCCTGTGGACTGAAAGGTCCCGGGTTCGATTCTTGGTTGCGGGCACATCCCCACTGGGGGGTGTGCAAGAGGCAGCTGGTCGGTGTTTCTCTCTCATCGACGTTTCTAACTCTCTGTCCCTCTCAATTTCTCTCTGTGTAAAATCAATAAAATATATTTTTAAAAACCCAACCTTTTATTTCTTGGAAAATGTATGAAAAACAGCAGTTGTAAAGGTAAAATCTACAGTGGTTGATAACCAGTTAAACTGAGAGTGAAAGAGCAGAAGATAACTCTAGCTTTTAAATCTATGTTATCAGAATGGTGATGATGCTCTTTATTGAAATCAAAAGTCTTGGATTTGGTTGCTGAACAATGAGATGGAGGTCATCTTTATATTTCTTATCCAGTGAATTAGAATTGTCTCTCTTTCATTAACTCTTTCCCCACTTCTTTCCTCTGTCCTTCCTGTTTTTTATTTTCCCTGTAACTTTCTGTTCTTTCTCTTTCTCTCTCCTATAGCTGGTGATGAAAATTCCAAAAGGCTGTCTAGTCGTGCTCGAAAGAGGTGAGTGTGGATGACCAGACTTACGTAGATTAAATTGAAACTGTTCATCTTCAGCCACATGATTCCATGTGATGATGCTGATGAAAGGGGTGTTTGGGGACTGCTGTCACACTTCCTTGTGATGGGAAATGCCAGAACCTGCAGATGTATTCCATTTCCTCTGTCCTTATATATTTTCAGGG